GGGGTTGTTTATCCCCTGGGGAATCCTCTGCAGTGTGTGGGCAGTCCTCGGGCGGCGTGGAGGACGAGGGCGAGTCGCAGGCGGGCTGGATCGAGGGCGCTGCCATCCTGTTCTCCGTCATCATCGTGGTGCTGGTGACGGCCTTCAACGACTGGAGCAAGGAGAAGCAGTTCCGGGGGCTGCAGAGCCGCATCGAGCAGGAGCAGAAGTTCACGGTGATCCGCAAGGGCCAGGTGATCCAGATCCCCGTGGCCGAGATCGTGGTGGGGGACATCGCCCAGATCAAGTACGGTGAGTCAGGGTGGGGCTGGCCTTCCCCTTGGGATCCTCCTCCCTTCTCCCAGGAGGAGCCTCAGCTCCTCTGTGGGAATGCTGCCCTGGAGGTGTTGGAGCTGCTCTGGAGGTGATGGAGCTGCTCTGGAGGTGATGGAGCTGCTCTGGAGGTGGTGGAGCTCCACGGGAGGTGATGGAGCTGCTCTGGAGGTGATGGAGCTCCACTGGAGGTGATGGAGCTCCACGGGAGGTGGTGGAGCTCCACTGGAAGTGTTGGAACTCCTCTGGAGGTGATGGAGCTGCCCTGGAGGTGATGGAGCTGCCCTGGAGGTGTTGGAGCTCCTCTGGAGGTGATGGAAATCCACTGGAGGTGTTGGATCTCCACTGTAGGTGGTGGAGCTCCACTCCATCACTCTCTGCCCTGGAGCTGGGCTGGAAGCTTTCAGGAGCTGCTGGATCAAAATTTATTTTCCCAGCTTTGGTTCTGTTCAGGATATTTCCTTATCCAGGAGATGTTGAGGAATATTTCCTTGTCCAGGAGATGTTGGGGAATATTTCCTTACCCAGGAGGTTTTGAGGAATATTTCCTTATCCAGGAGATGTTGAGGAATATTTCCTTGTCCAGGAGATGTTGGGGAACATTTCCTTACCCAGGAGATGTTGAGGAATATTTCCTTATCCAGGAGATGTTGCTGGATATTTCCTTATCCAGGAGATATTAAGGAATATTTGCTTATCCAGGAGATGTTGGGGAGTGTTTCCTCATCCAGGAGATGCTGGGGAATATCTCCTTGGCCTGGAGGTATTGGTGGATGTTTCCTTCTCCAGGAGCTGCAGCCCTTGGGATAAATCGGCCTGCTCCTCGTTTCCCAGGGGGAATATTCCTCCCATTCAGGAAGGAGATTGATCCAACACCGTGCTCGTTTTCCCAAGGGCCCAATTCCATACTTGGCAGGTGCACGTGGTGGATTTTGGATGCATCAGGAGCTCTGGGAAGGATTCATTAAAACCCGATGGGGAAGCACTGAGCAAAATCCTCCCCAGGGCTCTCCATGCACCAGGGAGGATTTGGGATTTCTGTGAAATCTTGGGGTTCATTTTATTGCACCTGTCCCTTCCAAACCCCACCTGCAGCTTCTCCTCCCTCTGGGGCTGGTCTGAGCCTGAGCTTTGGATCCTGGTGGAGCATTCCCATGGGATGGAGCAGCAGGGCTGGGCTGATCCCTGTTTTTCCTCCTCTCCCAGGGGATCTCCTGCCAGCCGATGGGATCCTGATCCAGGGCAATGACCTGAAAATAGACGAGAGCTCGCTGACAGGGGAGTCAGACCAGGTCAAGAAATCCATGGATAAAGACCCCATGCTGCTGTCAGGTGAGTTCTGGGATGGCTGCAGGGCTGGGATCAGGGTGCCTGGGTGTGTCCTGCTCTCAGAGAGGTGTCCCAGGCCAGGCTTGGAGCAATCTGGGATAGGGAATGGAACAGGATGGGGGTTGAAGGTCCCTTCCAAGCCAAAGCAGTGTGGGATTCTGTGGGGTGGGGACTGGGAGTCTCACCTGTGTGCCCGTGGCATTCCTGCCGTGCAGGTACCCATGTGATGGAGGGCTCGGGCAGGATGGTGGTGACTGCTGTGGGCATCAACTCCCAGACTGGGATCATCTTCACCCTCTTGGGAGCAGGAGAAGGTGACGAGGAGAAGAAAGTGAAGAAAGGTAAGAAAATGCCCTGAACCTGCCTTTTTTCCTTCTTTTCTCCATTTCCTGGGAAGCATCCACAGGCTCCCCCCACATCAGGATCAGCTCCTCTGGGCCAGGCAGGAACAGGGAGAGGTTGGGGGTCCCTCCCTGTCCCCTCCACCTGGTCCCCCCGTGCTCCCAGACCTCTTTGGGACCCTTCTCCAGCTGCCTCCTCTCCATGCTGGAGCTGTGGGCTGAGGGGATCCAGGATCTCCAGGAAGGGGAACTGGTGGTGACTCCCCTGTGGTGCTCTTTGCCCACCCCATGGTGGTGGCAAGGTGAGTCCTGGGTGCCCACAGGGTGTTTTTAACCCCTCCAAACCCTGGAGGACTTGGCTGAGGATCTCCTGAGCATTCCCTGAGCTCCCTGGGGGAAAGGAGAGGATGGCAGGAGGCAGAGCAGGGGTGGGACAGCAGCCAGGCTGAGGTGACTCGAACACTCTCCCAGCTCAGCTTTCACATCCAGCTGCTTATTCCCTGCTGGGGAAGCTCCCTGTGCCCCTGATGCCCTGCCCAGCAGGTTTGGCCTCACCAGGATCAGGCTCTGGCAGCAGCATCAGGCTGGCACTGCCAGCTGCTCCAGCATCCCTGTGCCAGGGAGGGGAGAGGCTTCCCAGGCTGTGCTGGCTGCCAGATCCCAGCCCTGGGTGTGCATTCCCAGCCCTGGGTGTCCATCCCAGCTCTGGGTGTGCATTCCCAGCCCTGGGTGTCCATCCCAGCCCTGGGTGTCCATCCCAGCCCTGGGTGTGCATTCCCAGCCCTGGGTGTCCATCCCAGCCCTGGGTGTGCATTCCCAGCCCTGGGTGTCCATCCTGCCTTCCCCAGCTCCAGGATCACCAGGATTTGGGAGCTGTGGAGCTCCCAGGTTCGGCTTCCACCATGGAGGTGGCAGGACAAGGTGCCCTGACAGTGGCACTGGGAGTGGCACTGCTGTGGCAGCCACCCAATGCCTGGAGCTTTCCCAACCTTCAAGCTCAATGGATTTGGGAGCAGAGCAATGGGTGCCACCAGTTTGTCCCCACTGGAGCTGTGGGGTGACACAAACCCCTCGTCACCTGAGGCTCCCTGTGTGGCACCCCCGTGTGCCACCTTGGCAGATTTTGGGGGGTCAGATCTCCCTGCTCTGGGTCTGGTGCTGCCCAAGGTGGGGACAAATCTGTGCTTCCCACAGGGATGTGATGGCAGGGAGGGAAAGGCCTGGAGCTGCAGGAGGGTTTCTCCTGAAATTCTGCTCTGTGGAGCTCTGTGGTTCCTCCTCCTGAAAATCTGAGGCACCTCCAGCACCTTCAAGGGGTGATTTGCAGGTGGGGAAGTTCAGAATTTCCCAGATTTCCCAAATTCAGAAATTTGGTGGGGAAATTCAGAATCCTTGGAACAGCAGAGCACCAAATTCAGGAATTTGCTGAGGAAATTCAGAATCCTTGGAACAACAAAGCACCAAATTCAGGAACTTGGTGGGGAAATTCAGAAACCTTGGAACAACAGAGCACCAAATTCAGGAATTTGGTGGGGAAATTCAGAATCCTTGGAACAACAGAGCACCAAATTCAGGAATTTGCTGAGGAAATTCAGAATCCTTGGAACAACAAAGCACCAAATTCAGGAATTTGGTGGGGAAATTCAGAATCCCTGGCTCTGGGGTGCCCAGGGCAGCCTGGGAGCTCTGGAGCTGTGAGGACCCAAGGCGTGGTGGCCAGAGGGTGACCACTGGAGTGGCCCCTCAGATGATCCCAGCTGGATGGGGAATGTGGCTCCCCCGTGCTCAGCCCTCCACCCTTTCTCTCTTTGAACAGGTAAAAAAAGCGGAGCCCCCGAAAACCGCAACAAAGGTAACGCCAGCCTCTCCATCCTTTGAACCAGCACCACACTAACTACCAGCATTCCTCCTTCCTTCCTTCCTTCCTTCCTCCTTCCTTCCTTCTCCTCATCACTCTGTGCTCTTTGCTGCTCTGGCAGGACTCTCGCCTCGTTTTTCCAGGACAGGGTGCAATGGTCCCGTGGCTGGTGGCCCTGGCACGGCCCCGTGGTGTCCCCACAGCACCAGGGGTGTGTGGTGACTGAGCTGAAAAGAGAGAGAAAGG